TATATACTTATAAAGGAATAAAAGCTACTTAATACTAATAGAAGTAATAGGCTAATAAGCACCACTATACTATTAATTTTAATATTAATAATTATATCTTTATTACTACATCAGACTGGTAGGTTAATTATCCTAGTTAGAAGCTTGCTGACTAGCTTACTGGACCATTCTGAATTACTAAACATGAGGGTAATACCTTCTAATTAGATTTACCTGATTCTATAAAAGTCTACCCTATCTTTATATCTAAGAAGCTTTATAAAGCCCCATCTATACTACCCCTGCTAGGCCAGCTTCAGGACCCAGCTCCCCTGCTTAAGGTTAACAGCAAAGATGAGTGGGAGGTTAATAAAATACTTACATCCTAGCTCTACTATTATAAGCTCTAGTACTAGGTAAGATGGCTTAGTTATAATATTAATCTTTCCTGGTATCTAGCCTGAAACTTTAGAAACTCCCTAATATTGCTCCAAGACTTCCATGCCTGATATCCAGCCATGCTGGGCCTACTAATGCGCCTACCTGAATGGCTGCAGGTAGCTGAAGATGATGTATTCCTTAATAATCACCCAGACGATGATAGACCCCAAATGAGGGCATCCAGAACCTAAAGGGGGGGTAATGTGATGATCTGTCACTATGTTCCCTGCTGACATCCTTACACAGAGCTTTCTGCCCCTCTTGACTGCTTACTGCTTTGGGTTGTTTGGCTAGTTTGCACTGCTCCGCCCTCTGTTTATAATATCTCCCTACCATGTACATACTTTCCTTCTCTCTCTTCTCTATGCTTAGTTTTCTATCGAAATACTACCATACCATTGGAATATGAGCAGTGCCATCATAGTTGACTCGACATCGTCGACAGCGGTTGCCGGCACTTCCCGAGCCCAGAGAGGGCAATGTCTATGCGGCGTCTATGATGTATGTGCAAGATGTGCTCTCTAACACTACTGCATTCGGCTGAGCTAGAAAGACAGACGGCAAATGTCTATGCGGCGTCTATAATGTATGTGCAAGGTGTGCTCTCTAACACTGCTGCATTCGGCAGTCAGAAACACAGAGTAGTACTGCGTACTGTGTAGTCACGACTGAGACCATGTCCAATGTAAACGAATGCGTCTGTTCAATACAAATGCCCACCCACCTGCGGGGAGTCTCGGCTTCTAACTGCACAGGTCAGGTTACGAGGAATATAAAAAGAACAAACATCTCTCTGATCCGAAATTTCGGTATGCGCTTTTGATCAGCAAGATTAGTCAGCCTCTCGGTCCTTCTAACTATTGAGAATATATATACGGGAGGTGTGGTGCAAACTCATTAGCTGCTAGTAAAGCTTGGCAGGGTAATAAGACTGAGAAACCTTACATAGTTCCTTCTGCTGGTGACAAAAGTATATTTAGCGCTGACCTCATGAATGTCGCTGATGCGTTAACAGGCTTCTCGTTGGATCTACAATGGTCAACAACCACTGGTCTACCGTTGAGGGTCCGAATTTAAGCAATGGATCCCCCCAACACCCCGCAAAGAGGTCCAACTTGGATCGAGTGAATAACGGAGTGTGCCAGAAAAGACTGTCAGATGCTAGCAAACGCTGGAATGATTGTGACCAAATTCTTGGTCTCCCAGATGGGCCATGAATGTCGATGACTGGGCGGAACTCGACATGCGTGGCTACCATCCAGGGCGTTCATATTAGATGGATTCGTTTAAGATATACTTTAGATATAGCGTCCTGACCTTTCAAACTAAATAATGGCGCTTAGACTAATTTTCTTCTTTTCCCTTCCTCAACCAGCTGCTCCTCTGAGACAGTCTTTGACTCTTTAGGTTCCAGACTCCAATGCCTTTTCCTTATCACACAGTTAGAGTAAGGTTCCTCAATGGAGTGCACATCAAAAAGGTGACACTAAAAGTCTAGGATGCTGCTATACTCTTTCCCAGAGCAACAGGGATGAGGGTAAGTAACTAGGTTTCTTAATAGCAGCTGGGAGAGATGCTTATTAATATAATTTAAGAGCATGGCCTTGTTCAGCTATTACTTAAAACACTTATCTAGCCTCTTGTTGCCGTCCCCTAGACAGAAGGGGCATAATCCAGGAGCTATAAGGGTGTAGCAGAATATTAGCAGCCTATATCAGGGTTTAAGATTAGCTAAATGAAGATAATAGTACTGATTCCAGTCTTCTTCACTGTATAACAGCTATGCACATAAGTAGCAGAACTACACAAAGTTTCATTAGACACAGTGGTGAGCTCTCTTGCTATTCTTATAGCACTATTAATAAGGAGCTGTATTTAATGTCTTTCTCCAGTATTATAGAATATGCTTTACACAATCTTATAGTTGCTGGGCAACACTAGCAACTTATTAGTCCTTATAGCTTTTAAAGCAAAGCAGGGTGCAAACCTTTCTATAGGTTTATAGTAGACTAGACATTGCCCATCAACAGGGGTCAACCCAGGATAGTATGCGACTCTCTTAGTTAATATACAGAGACTAATTATATCCTAAAGGCATTATCTTCCCACCTCACTATTAATAGGTACCTCTTTGAACAGGTTTTCGCGCAGGCAAGTTCTTATCAGGATATATTTAGTATAGATCTTAAATTAGTTTATTATATCACATTTAGTAAATCCCTTTCTAGAGATATATCCCTTATAGCATTCTTTCCACTACTATGAAATATACTTAGATTGCTTTGCCTGAAGCTTTTTAGCTTTCTGTGTATATAGCCTGGATCATTCTTCTGCTAGTAATTTATAAATACTCAGCTGACCTGCAATCCTTTACAAAAGGTTAGTAATCCTTATATTTAGGCCAACAATTTCCTTGTCATGTTTAAACTTAAATAGTATCACAGCATCAAGGTAAAGAGGGATATTTAGATCATGATAATACATCATACTCTATTCCATGTCTTAATACTTATAATCTAGTTCTATACTATACATCAAAGCTTGCATATCCAATGCCTTGAGCTGAGCCTGATATTTAAGGAATATATTATAGTCTTAATAGTCAAGCACTTGGCTACACATAGCTTCTGAGGCTTTAGCTATATAATTAATTAGCACTAGACAGACATCTATTTAAAGGTAGGGAAAGCAGAATACAAAGGGGAGGTGAATAAATATAGTAGGCAGTATTAGCTTATAATCTACCCTATTTATAAGCTCCACTCTAATTCCATAGATGCATAGTTAGTCCTTAAATCCATCTCTTTGCGCTAAACTTATGGAACTATATCTTAATAAGGAGAATGTTAGTCCTTTATCTGCTTTTAATCTATTTAAAGTGACTATTTAGAAAAAGGGGAGCTCTCTAGCAGTCTTAGTCTACTATAAAGTCTATAATTCTCTACCCTCTAGAGGTCTTTAGGCCAGTAACTCCTTAATAGAGGATATGCCCTTAAATGCACAATCTACAATATTATAGATAATGACCTAAAAAATAAAATTTATTATAAGGATTAGGTGCTCCCTGAACTAAGTTTTTAGCCTAGTAGCATGGTAAGCCCCTAACTAAATAACAGTAGTCTTAAGAGCAGGGTTGCATAGGGAATGATAGAAGGGAAACAGCCTATAAAGTTATATTATCCTAGTAGCACCATCCTTTAAGGAATTAAGGATTAATTATCACCTATCTCTTTACTATCCTAGCCTGATTACTCTATTTTATATAGAATGAGAGATGCTTTATATAAGAGTTAGAGAATAGAACCTTAGAGTAGATATTAGAGGCACTAACCTTGTAGTAGAGGCACTTATTTATATTTTAATAAGAACTTAATTCTATAATTGCCCTAGCTCTAGACCCTAAATCTATAAAGAGAGTAAGCACACTTCTAGTTTAGACTCATGCCTATTTATATATATAATCATATATATCATCTCCAAATAAATAGCAAAGCAGGTATTTAATATCCTTAGCTATAACTAGGAAGCATGCCCTTAGTTCTGTTAGAAGGGCATACTTACTTATTAGATCATTTTATATGAACTAAGCAGAACTATATTAGCATTAATTATCATAATAGATATGCTTAGATCATATATATTAAGGATATCTTTCTTTACTTCTATAGGGAGACTCCTAGATGCCTTACACTCCCATCTTAATATAAAGCTAGTAAAAAAACAGCATACTATCTTCTGTAAGGGTATATTTTTTTTTTAGGTAGCAATGTAAAACTCCATAAAAAGCTTTAGAATTTGTAGAGAGGAATCTAGTTCATCCTTAGAGAAGTTTTTTATTCCACTCTCCTTGTGAGAAAGTCTCCATCTAAAGAAAAAGAGTTAAGAGTTGCCTCACTAGGTTAACTAAGATAAATACTTACAAAGCCCACTGGAGTGCTGCTTGATCATACTTTTTATAAGTTACTAGTGCTAGCCTTAGGAAACTTATAACATTCTCTTTCTTTTCTTACTTATTTTAGTATTTAAGAGTAAAGCCACATGACTCCACCAGTCTCAGTGCTCCTCTAGTAGTTTTTATAACTTAGCATCCTTAGAAGCTATGGTCATATGATGTCACATATAATTAAAGGGGTGGAAGCTAAGAGGATTAATACTTTGTATAGATTCAGTAATAATCAAGTGCATCTCTTCAAACTGCAGGGCGCAGAGCATATTAAAAGCAGCTTAATCACTGTTTCTTCTGTAGTCAGCTACTAAGTGCACCTTCATCACCCCCTGGAGCCCTCATCACCACCAGTAAGCCATCATCACCAGGGGTGATGGGGTCCTCACCCATATCACCAGCACTCATACTAAAAGCATCACGCCGCTGCTTTAGAGGCAAAAGAGCTTTCTGGGGATTGACCACGTTCTACATGTGGCTTAAGTACGGCTGAGCGGACGGGAAGCCCTGTTTTCCACACCCTGTGGTCATATGTGCTAGGATGGAGGTAAGGCTTCCTTATACAGTGCATTTGACTAAATATTATACCGAAAGCGATGTGGTTCTACAGGAGTGGAACAATATCCTAGCGGGTGAACCTGTATTAAGCCTAGAGAGACAAGCTCATATAGCAAATTAACATAGCCTGGATAGCAGTTACCAGGCAGTAGCTGCCCAATTATCTCCCAGAAGTTGCAATGATCCAATGATCCTCCGGAATAGCGTGATGATTATCGATCATGGTGCTGCTAACAGTTCCCAGACAGCCCAGGTGGCCCATACCACCCGCCATCCTGCAGCATACCAAAACGGCCGGATGGTATATTCATTCTCCTGCAGCGCACTCCACGTGTACAGCGCAGCAAGACTAGCATTGTAGAGTGCAAAGCAGGAGCCCACGATCCGACCAACTTTGGATTGACGTATATGATAGTCTCGCAACAGCCAAGTGCTCAGCACAAACGGGAAGAAGGAAACACCCGTAACCCGCATCCAGAACCGAGTCAAGGGATGAGCCAGCTCGTCGCGGTTGGGTATGACAATTGGCGAGACGAACAGAAATGCGAAAGCGTCAAATCCTTGCACTGCTAAGGCAGAGCCGTACATGAGGCGAACGGACAGAGGCTGGAACTGATTCTGTGGCGATTAGCAGCAGGCAGTTCATATAGGAGGTAACCTACCATGCTTGATGATGCCGGATTCTTTAACCCAATATTCTGTCTGTTATACTGCTTTCGTGGAACGGTTGAAGAAGTTGTTTGAGATTTAATGACCAGTTTAGGAGGATGGGATGTTGCAGCACAAATTTCCCGCTTGTCTTGCCGCCACCTCGTATATCTAGCGTGTGACCTTCGTATCCATTCAACACAGGGGTAGAAACGCACTTGTCGACCATTTCCATATCAATGCATCTTCACTATCCCGAACTAAGCTTTGTCCGGAGCTGTTGATTCCGAATACGGAGGCTTCTGCATAAAGATGTCCACCCATGGACGGCCCTGCCGAGGTCAATCGGCACTGCAGCAATGTTGATATTTTACTACGTACTACCAGTATATCCAATAGTGACATGGTGTATAAGTGATAGAACGACAATTTAACTTAGTAAAGTGTTCTCCTAACACATAGTGTAGTACAGCAGTATAGTGCGCGATACTATCATCAAGCCTTATACACAATTCGAAGATCAAGGTCACCCCTATCCATTCTGTCTTCAGTATATTCTCCATATCCCGGAAAACGCAGTTTAAGCAGTTCAATCCCATCACCAGGGATAGCACCAGCAGCAGATCCCATCTTGTACTTTGCGTCAACGAGGGACCGGAGATCATCGGCTTCAAGAAAGACCTTGTACGGGGACTCTTCACCACTGCCGAGCTTTCGTATGGTGTAGGTTAACCCATGCCAGAGCGAGTACTGGCTGACAAAAACAGTATCTTTGCGATCGTAGCCGTAATACTTCGCGCGATGCATGTAGCCGTCAAAGATATCCTGCTGTAGCTAATCCGGGGTTGAGCGTTCAGTGATATTGCGCAAGCATGACAACTCAACTTACAGATTTAATGGTGAGCCTCAGGTCGCGCTTCCCCAAGTGGATATCCTCGTCACCACAGGCTGTGAACACGTACTCGATCCCGACGTGGATCGTGCCACCGAATATCAATTCGTGGATCATAATCATCTCCCGGTTGCCCTGGTAAACACGTTGTTCGACATATATCCTGGGATCGGGGTGCGTCTCATCTCTCTCAGAAATGAATGCAGTCAATCTCACGTACCGGCCCCTGTCGTAAGTCGCATCCGGGTTAAGGATCTCTGTCTCGTCTGGTATGTGCAGTATGGTGTCAGTTCCCGCTGCTTAATCACTCCCGATGAAATGCCCGAGTTAGTAGGCCTTAGGACTTCCCTACCAGTAAAGAAAACTTTCCTGAACCTGTACCCCGGAATCTCATTTCGCTCACGGCTTTGATCCTGGCTCCGGGTGAATATCGTGAGGGGACAGTCCCGATTGAGACCGTATTCTTTGACCACGTTCTCGATAGGCCCTCTGCAGATAGACTTGCCGAAAATGCATTTCTGCGGCGTCCTTGTGTTGATCCTGCTCTGGCTTCTGGGAGGCGAGTTTACCGGCCCCTTCATGACTGGAGTTGCTGATCTTTTGCTGTGCCAGAGAATATTGTCCTCCTCGTCCACATCGTGGATACTCGCTGGTTCCGGGGCAGTTTTCATGTTGGAGAGCTTGCAGAGGGCTTCTGTCCAGTAGCGGTAATAGCCTGGTATTAACAAAGGCTCGATGGGAAAGTCGGAGAATTTATGCTCTGAGGGGTCGCGGCCAACATTGGTGCAGGTCGGGCTATTCTGAGGTTGTAGCGGGGCAGTGCCAGACTAAATGCTGCAAGTGACTGCGCCGCAGAAATAACCCTGTTTGAAAATAACTAAACTATTCTGTAAAACTCCCATAAAACAGTCAAGCGTGACGTCCTCGTCAGTTTCCTATAATCACGCAAAGACCAGGGAGGAAGACATAACTAGATGCATCTCAAACTGTCACTCGACCAATTGTATACGCGTTATCCGAGCCAAGGATATCTCTACTGATTGAGACGGCGTCAATGCTGCAGGAGAAGTCAAGCAATAAGGTTGATGGTAATATCCTATGGAAAATGCAGGCCTGCAAATGTAGCCACTTTTGGTTCTACGCCTGGTGTGAACCTTATAGTCAAGAACAATTCACTTTTCCCAACTGCCGCATTCTCACTCTTTGCGATACTTCGAGCGAAACGAATCGAAGATCAATACAGCAAGTCCTTCCACGGTGCCTGCTTTGGCAATCGCTGTCAAGGATAGGTTCATATTGAGATAACGGCGGGACCAGTTGCGGAACTCCACAGTCATCAAGGAATCAATAGGCAGAGCGGCCACTTGCGCATAGTCTCGTCCGCGGGCAAAATTCGAATATTCCTGTATGCTCCTGACAATTTCCCTCACGATTCGTTTCGGCAGTGCTGGGTCTCTCAGCCAGTTCGGATTCTCTTCGAATGCCGCCAATGCCTGTTGCAGGCCCTCTACTGCTTCCAGGTTCTTCGAGAGGGGCCGTTTGTTGATGTCTAAATTAGCGTAGACGCTGAATCTTGCGTCCCGTCCCCAGAGCGGGCGAACGGAGGGGTCGGCGAGAGACTTTGTGCTACTCATGCCCACGATAACATCGTTTCGGACGCGCAGAACGCTGTCCCTTGACTCGTTCGCCGGCGTGCTCGATGATTGACACTCGAGCATGGCAATCTCAAATGCATCAAGCACCTCCTGTTCGCTGAGGAGGCGAACATGGGCTGCCTGCATCCTGTCTCGCAACTTCTGGTCCTGGATCGCTAGATGGCCTACTTCGCCCACGCCCCCCAGATTCACGACGGAGGCGGGAAGACCAGCACGGAGTCGGTACTGGGCAAAGGACGTCAAAAACGCATTGGCGGACGAGTAGTTAACCTGGCCAGCATTACCCATGACGCCGGTGACAGATCCACAGACGACGAAAAATTGAAGACGGCTATCGTATCCTTTCAGTGCTTCATGAAGATTCCAAGTGCCCGCCACTTTGGCGGAGAGACCTTCCTTCCAGTCAGAGTGCGCCATATCTGGGATAAAGTAGTCCTTTGACAGGTTAGCAGCCCATTTAATTTGTCTGGTTCTGTTGGCATTGAACTTAACTTACCCGAAGCACCATTGACAGTTGCAGCACACCTCCAATGGGCTGACTGCTGCGTTGGATTGCGGCCTTGACATCGTCAACTACTCCGACATCTCCTTGAATCATGACTGCGCTGCATCCCTGTGCCTCCAATTCACACCGGAACGCTTGATCCTGCGCGGACTTTCCCGCTGACCTGGACAGGAATATGAAGTGACGAGCGCCGCGCTCTACCATCATGGTTGCCAGAGCTCGTCCTACTCCTCCGAGACCTCCGACGAGAAGATAGGAGACATCGTCCGGCAGAGCCACCTTCAAACGTGACCTGGAAATGACCACTTCCCTGGGGCGCTCTGGCATCTTTACGACCAGTTTACCCATGTGATGCCCCAGTTGCATCAGTCGGAAAGCCCCGTGGATATCAGTTGCTTCCACAACTTGCAGCGGCCGCACGGGGGTGATTCGGCCCTGTTCATATAGGGTCATGGCTTGGGCGACAAGTCTAATTACCACGCTCTCGTTAGTTTCATCAAGATGATAGCTTATTCGAAGACGCTGTGAAACACCAGGTGGGAAATCCTCTACCTTGAAACCAAACCCGGCTTTTCCCCAAGGCGAATGAGATCGACCCCGAAGAAGGCTCTGTTACCGCCAAACGCCTCCATATCGAGCGTGCCGTGCTCGAGAAAATCTCTCTTGCCGATTTCAATCATCTTGCCGAATTCTGCCACGCATTTCCAGGATGCATGTAGTAGCTCCCCAGCCAGCGAGTTTAGAACGACATCGACTCCCCGGCCTTGGGTCGCACTCATCAAGGCCGGCAGAAAAGAACCGTCGCGGGAGTTGAAGATTCGCTGCCGCGGAATTCCCATGTTGTGGACTAGATAGTCTGCCTTTGCTTCGCTTCCTGCCGTCGCATATATCTATACATCAGGTTGTTAGAGCCAACATATTTCGACTATCTATCAGTGACCAGATTCAAAGGCATACCTTGGCACCGATCATCTGGCACACTTGAATAGCTGCCAGCCCGACCCCTCCGCATGCCGCGTGGATCAATACAGACTAGACATATCAGTTGAGCTACTGCACAGTGGTGGAGTTGAGCTTCAACATACCTGCCCCTTCTCTAGCCTTGCGATATCCGTAAGACAATAAAGTGCAGTTCCGAAAACAACAGCAAGGGACGCACCCTCTTCTAGCGACATGGATGGTGATATAGACACGCATCTTGAGGAGGGCACGATAGCCCGTGTGCGAAACAGTCCAGGCTGGGCGACAACGACTCTATCACCAGGATGTAACTCTGCAACGTTCTTGCCGCATCGTCGGATGATTCCGCTTGCCTCAATCCCCAGCTCGCCCTTGTGCTCCAGAAACCCCATTGAAATCATTATATCCTGATGAGAAGCGTCAGTGGAAATCTCTCAATTTTTTCCAGAATATGATTTATTTCACATACGCGGAAATTGAGTCCAACATATTTTATATCCACCTCGACATCGTCTGGTCCCAGAGGCTGTGGTTCATCTTCACACCAACCAAGAGACTCCATCAACCCGTAGGCCTTAATATCAAGTTTGACCGAAGCATTTGGTAATGGTTCCTGATGAAGTCGATTTTTCAAGCGAGTCCATTGGAAACGTGGAATATATACCTGCCCCCCTGCAATGCGAATTCGTATTCGGGATCACGCAAACCGGTCTGGCAATCCAGCTGCGAGAAAAACTTTTCAGTGACCTTCACCAGTGCCGCTGCTGCCGAAGCATGGAACTCGTCGATCTGCAATGTTCCAAAATGCAATCCTTGCTCCTGGCGGGCCGTGCGAGACACCCCCATGGCAATCGCGAAGTCCGGATTCTGGCAAGTGAGCTCGACGGATGGCATTACCCAAAGAATCCGGGACGCGGCGGCGACGAGCGACTGGAATGACTTCCAGCTCATCTCACTAATGTCCTTGAAGAATGGCTTTTGAACATCCAGTAGGGATACGATGCGCTGTTTGTTAGTGAAATCAGCGTCCAGAGTGCAACGCTGGGTTTGATAACCCATTCTCTCGAATTGTGTTTCCGCATTGCAGATCCAGGCGTTATTGTGGACCAGGCTCGGACAAAGAAGGCAGATGAGCTTGGTGTCCTCAATCGGAGGCGGCAGACGAGCAGTCAGGTTGCAATAAGGGTGTTCGCCATGCGTACCCTGGATTTGATCGAGTCCGACCTGCAGGAGTGTTTCCACCCACTGGTCGCGACAAGGCGATACACCGCAGGATTCCAGTTCTTCGTTACCCATGAGACCCTGTAAGTGCTGTCAGCCGATGCATTTGAGCAAGTGGTTCGAGAAGCAGAAATTACTTGCCCTGATGTATCCCATCATAGGAAGCACTGAAAAAGGTAGCCATTAGATGACGTTTCAAGCGGCAAATGTTTCTAACGACGAGCAGTCACTCACCAGCATTTGGTATATGAAGCAGGACTCGGCCCCCGGCACAAGAAGCCTTTTAATATTTTGAAGAACAGTTTGCAGCTGAGAAGGCGGAACGTTCGTCTGGGAAAGCTGTCAGCAATCTAGAATGCCATATGGTTCTGAAATCAACATGACGGACATTTGACACTATAACCAAGTCATACGCTCCCTTTTCAAAGCCTTGCTCACAAGGATCCGTAGTTATATCGAGGTTCTTGAAATTTACTGCCTTGAACTCTTTGAGGCGTTCTTCTACGGCTGAGCTGATATCTTTCGTGCTCGTGTACGTATACTTCGAGTAGAATGGGAGATCTTCAGAATTGAGATACTCAAGAACCTGAGGGGATACTATTCCCCTTCCCTCGGCGATATGAAGGATCCGTAACAAGGGGTTGGAGTGCCGGAGAAGGCCAAACCAGTCAGACAGATCCCTCATGGAAGCAACCAAGCTTTCACACTGCCATATCTGCTCCTGTATGGCAGTCGGAAAAGCCGACGGCGGAAGCGATCCGTCGACAATATCCCGGACGGATTTCAAGATCCATTTGCTGAGTGAGGAAATGAATTCCAACTTGCTTGTTCGGAGCTCCTCATCCAGAACGGCCCGCTGGCGCTGTAATCCTTTCTCCGAGAACTTGAGCCATGATGCAGCTTCAGGGACTCCGAAAAAAGCTTCTCGCTGGATTTCTGCAATTTGAGTACTGATAAATTTACGGTATCGTTCTAGCGATGGTGAAAATGGCATCACCTCGGCAATCTGTCGATGTATCTGAATGATAGACTGAGCGGACAGTTTGGCAATCAGAGCAAAGCTAGCCTCAGTAGACTGGGAGTAGCGTAGCGGTAGCTGCTGCTCATTCAGGAGATCAATATCAGGGCGCCATTCTGCGTGTGATGCTAAAGGAATGTCTGCCTCGTCGACTGTCCTCATATTGCTGTCGAACGGGGCAACCGTGACGTCCGCCATTGAAAGCACCTGCTTGATAGATGCGGTTTGTTGGTCCATAGCCATCAACCGCACATTCCCGTTACCCAGTTCTGCTGTGCGATTCCTGATCGTCGCTTCTGCTCTCATCATTTC